GTAACTTATCATCAGTACTTAGCATCATTGGGTTACCTGTTAATGATGGGATTGAGATTAGTTGTCAAGCAGTATCATATCCACCTTTGGTTGAAGATTCTTCTGGCAGTACACTTCATGTCAGGGGTATGCGTACTGTCAACACTATGTGCATGTGTCTATTATGGGGTTTAGCCTGGCAATGCCAAGATTAAGCCTGGTTTACATTCAATAGAACAGTCAAAAGTGCATGGGTGATCTGACTTTTTGATGCAAAAACGCTTTGAAGTTAACACAAAATTGGCCAAATTTTAATTTTGTGTTTGTTTGTGTTGTGTTTTGTGGCAAGTGTAAACAAGCTTATGATTGTTTATTATCATGTAGCCTTTGAAATGGTATATCAAAAATACATAGATCTCTCCCATATGCAAAGCCTAATGCACACACAGTAGCATTATGACCTTATGCTTCCAAATTATATTGTTCCATAAATAGGAGTATCACCAGTTGAAGACATACACTGGTCTAATGATGATCAGTTATTGTCATGGTCTCCTCCTTCTTTCTATTCTGATGATATACCACTAGGAACTGTCACTACATATAATGTACTAGTGAATGGCAGTTGCTATGTCAATACTACTAACACTAGTGTATTCTTGAATCAATATGATTCTTGTTGTTTGGAGCTTAATATCAGTGTAGTTGCCTCTGTGCAACAATATGTATCAACAAAGGATGAAACTATTTATATGGCAAAGTTTGAAAGTAAGTCATGCTTGAATAATACCAGCCTATAATAATATTTTTAATAATTTAGATATTACTTTCAATATCAAAAATTACAGTGTTATATTTAATGAAACTAGCAAGAATTTTCACATCACCTTAACTATCAAAGTATGCTATAAAAATAATACACTCACAATGTATGTGTGTTTATGATAAAATAATTATGTTGCAATAGGTTAACCAGGATGCAATACAAAGTTGTAGGTATTCTATTGATGGAAGAATTGGTGAAGTTCGTCATTCCAAGTGTTTGTTAGGAGAAGAGTATGATGATTTTACTGTTACTGATTTACCGCCGTATATAAAGAACACTATTGTCATGGATTTAAACAACAATTGTGGTACTGTAGATAATGATGCCCTCGATTTCAGTGAATTGTGCATTAGAATGTTTAGATTTATTTCACTCCATTTTTAGCTACGTATCATGTTCAAAATCTAACGATATCTACTGAAGGGAATGGATCTGTTAGTGTACAGTGTGTTTATGCAGAATCATCAACTGCTGATGGATGTCATGTGATATTTACACACACTGTCAGCGGAAGGAATGAATCTTTTAATGTAACTGGATCAGGGAATACAATAATATCTTTACCAGCCAGTGGTAGTTATACAGTGATAGCCTTTGATATTTATAATGGGTCATTATATGGACCATCTCTTGAACACTTTAAACAAGTCAATGTCATACTGGATTCTCCTGATCACTCTACCACAGTGTATCCTACCTCTACTAATAGTCCACCAAGTGAGAGTAAAAATTAATTTAATTTAATTTTCTTAATTGTCTCATTAGATGTTTCTGTAAGTGTGCCTCCATCACCAATTGATGTCGAAAGTCCTGATAATGACAGTAAGATTGCTATACTGTACAATTAATGCACTATCAAAAATGGATGGTCTTTGAATACTGTGTTTATATTATTATAGGTAACATGGTGTATACTATTCTTGCTTTTTTGCCTGTGGCTATAATAATGTTAGCCATATCTTGGTGTATTTATACTAGAAATCGAAGTATACTCAATATTTTGAATGATGGTATAATGGTTGCTATAGGAAATGCTGCTTCATCAAGTGCATCATGTAATGTTTCTAGTCAGCACATTATTGGTCCTAACACAACTAGTAGTGCACTGGCATGCTG